CTCATGGGCCCAGGGCCTCTTTCTTCTCTCCTTCAAGAGTGTGCAAAGATACCTTGTGATCCAGAACCCCTCTCAGGATAAAGAACAGAGGAAGTCAGATGTGCTATAAAATAAAATATTTACCCAAAGCAAAAGACTGTTCACAATCTGATAAAAATGTGAGACTTCTAAAAGTGGAGGTGAATGCTAACTATATTCAATATTTTATCTGGTTAAACCAGAAAAGAGATTGAGATAATGTAAGTTTCCTGTCCTTTGTTTCCCAGATACCTTGCAGGGGGAGCACTGGTTACTTTCATGAAACAAGGAATCCATATTTTAAATGGGTTACTTTTACAAGCTAATGCTTGGAATCATATCTATATCGTCTAATCTGTACACAATATGTAAATCTTTATGGCTCTTTCACACATTTTGATGACTTCAGAGGGATGTGTGTGTCAAATCTGTCAAGACACAAAATGTTGCCATCACTCCATTTCCTCGTGTCCCTCCCTAGTCACCTACTGCGTGTTCTTTCCAGATGCAGCCACTCGTCTGTTTTCAATTATCATGGGAAATGATCACCTTAATTTAACTCAGTGAATCATGAGGTTTGTGTTCTCTCTGTCTGATTTCTGTTGTTCGGTTCAACAAGATGTTTTTGAGGTTCATCCGTGTCGCTGATCCGTGGCATATCAGTTGGCCTTTCCTTTCGAGTCTTCAACAGTATTCCGTTGTGTGAGCATGCCTTTACTTACCTCACTCTTTCTAATGGATGCTTGTTTCTAGCTTAAACTATCATGACCGAAGTCACTAGAACATTCCTTGAGACTTTTATTTTACTTTATGTGTATGAGTGTTAACTTGCGTGTCTGTATGTCTGTCACGTGTGTTTCTGGTGTTCAGGAAGGACAGAAGGAGCTGTTAGATCCCCTGAAACTGGAGCTGCAGAGAGTTGGGAGCTGCCCCGTGGGTGCTCAGAACCTGTGCCGGTCCTCTGCAGGAGCAGCAACGCTCTGAGCTGCTGAGCCCGCTCTCTGGCCCAGAAGCTGCTAGAACATTGTCGAAGAATGTATTCACGTCTCTGGAGTACACATCTTTCTACGAAGCTGAGCATTTTCCCAGGCAGGTTTCCACTTCGCACTTGCTTTGTACCACGGGAAGGTCACTGCCGCTGCACATTCTCCTCGCAGTCATTATGGCAAGCACGCAGAGAGAGAATTTGTATTCTTGTAACTTTTGCACAAATGATGCAGAGCCAGTTTTCACATTCTTTCTGGACACTGTTCCTCGTTCCTTTACCCGTTTCTTTACCAGGACAACTTGGGAGAGATGGAAGCCTGGGCTTCAAATCTCGTCGGGAACAGTCCTACTTCAGGGACTATTGCTGACTGACAGTACCAGTTGCTGCTCCCAGCCCGTGCCAGAGCCAGTAGGAACATAAGTGGAACCTGCTTCCATGTCACATGGGCGTCTCTTAAGGACAGCTGTTGTTTTATGGCTGACATGGGCTCAGGTTGTTTTGCAACCCGAAGTTCTTGCTCAGCGGTCTTTCCTTCCTTTTTGTCTTGTGCAGCAGTCGAAGCAGCCTTGTGGTCCCCTGTGGTCCCTTGTGGTCCCCTCTGTGGACCCTTGTGGTCCCCTGTGGACCCTTGTGGTCCCTTGTGGTCCCCTGCGGTTCCCTGTGGTCCCCTGCGGTCCCCTGCGGTCCCCTGTGGACCCTTGTGGTCCCCTGTGGTCCCTTGTGGTCCCTTGTGGTCCCTTGTGACCCGTTGTCTCTGTTTCTCATCCACTGCCTCCTGCACCCTCAGAGGTTCTCCATAAAATATACCTTTCCAATAGCATTTCGGCATCTGAAAACACAGTTCGATTTAGAAAGCATTGACTTGTTAAAAAGCCCCTTTTCTATTCTGGATACAAATCTTTTGTCAGAAATCATAAAATAAATATTTTTCTTCAATATGTGGTTTGCATGTTAATTTTCTAAATAATACCTTTTGATACTGAGTGTCGATCTTGGTGAACTATAACTCACTAGCTTCGCTTTTCATGTGAATATGTATGAGTTTTCCATCCTAAGTCAATGGACATATCAGCATGATGTTGTCAAAATAATTCCTTGCTATCATTTAATGCTTGTAGACTCATTTTCATTCAGTTATTGGCTATCTCTCATGTTATAATCATATTTTCTTAATCTTTAACATTAACTTATTTGATCCTTTTATCTATAGGGTTGCCTACTACTGATTTTTTGAAAGAATGAATGTTCAGATTTTAAAAATTTTCTCTATCGTTTAACACACTTCATTTGTTTATCTTCTTTTGTTCTTTTTTTTCAACTTGCTGGATTTAACTCTTGAGTCTTAAGGCAGAAGGTTAGGGTTTTGATTATGAACTTTACTTATTTTCCAGTACATGTGCTGTCAAGTGTACACTGCCTTCTAAGCAATGCTGCGTCTGCATTCTGTAAGCTTTGTTTTGTTTTGTTTCTGACTGAGCTCCATACATGCTGTTTGTCTATAGAACTCCTTTGACTTGTAGGTTGTTTCACACACAGTGTGTATCATAATGTGATGAAACACCATGACCAAGTGCAAGTTGGAAAGGAAAGGGTTTATTCGGCTTATACTTCTACATCACTGTTCATTATCAGAGGAAGTCAGGACAGGAACTCAAACAGAGCAGAAACCTGGAGGCAGGAGCTGATGCAGAGACCATGGAGGGTGTTCCTTACAGACTTGCTCAGTCTGCTTTCTTATAGAATCTTGGACCACCAACTCAGGAATGGCACCACCCACAATGGACGAAGAGCTCCCTCATCAATCACTAATTTAAAAAATGCCCAACAGGCTCTACTTAAAGCTTGATATTATGGAGGTATTTTCTTAATTGAGGTTCCCTTCCTCTCAGATGACATTAGCTTGGATCAAGTTGTCATAAAACTATCTAGGCCAGTTGGCCACCTCAAACTTGCTATATAGCCAATGATGATTCTGAACTTCACATTCTTCTGTCTCTACCCTTGGACTCCAGAGATTACTGTTGTGTAGTAGCATGCCTGCTTTATTCAGTTGTAGGCCAGCATTCTACATTAGACTTAGCAAGATATATATTGTATTATTTAATTCTCACATATTTGGAGATCTCCAGTTATCTTCTAATTATTAATTTCTACTTTAAGTATACTGTATTTGGAGAATGAATTTTATGACACTTCTGTCTCAACTAAATGCAGTTTAGGTTGAGTTTATGTTGTAGTATATGGTGTATCTTGATGAATATTTTGTTTTCATTTTGGGGAAAAATGTGTTGAAGTGGCTAGTTGAGCTGCTGTAAAAATGTTCTATTTAAGTTGATTATTGTATATATTTATATTATATACACAATGTACACAATGTCTTCATTAGTTATTTTATATATTTGTTCATTGATTATTAATAAAGACATGCTAAAATCTTCCACTACAATTCTGCATGTGTTCGTCACTTAGTTTCATGTCATGTATTAGGAAGTTGTTATCATATCTGTTATCATTTGGAACAGTTACATGTTCTTGATTGGGCAGTTTATTAGACTACTTTCCATGCTATTGATGCAGATATTCTATGAATAACATTTTTTTATTCATGTTTGTATAGTTCTTATTTTTCTACTCTTGCTTTTAAGGTATATTTATTTAAAATATATGCCTCATAGATACCATGTACTTGAATCAAATATTTTTACATTGTTTATCAATCTTTACCTCTTAGTTGGGTAAAATTATCTTATTTATGTCTTGTTTAATTATTTATATAAATAATGTTAAATCTACTATAAAATTTATTTTCATTGTATTTTCCCCCACTTCTAAGTTATTAGATAAGCCCCTCTTTAAATAATTCTATGATAATGCATTTATTTATTTCCATTTGTATCTACTTTATTTTTACTGTACCATTTCTCAGAAACATAAGAGCCCTATCCTGAGGATAGTAACTCTCATCCCTCATCCTTCTCACTGTAGTCATACTTTTTACACCTACATAAGCTTGCAAAATGTTATTTTTAACTCTAAATATATTTTAAAACAAGTAGGACAGAGATATTTTAAAGAAAGTAGGAGTCACATTCATTTACTTATGAGCATTTATCACATATAAAGGCTATTTCTTTTGTATGTCTGAATTTCAATGTGGCAAAATCATTTAAACTTAAAGAACATTTTATTTCTTGGAACACATATTTGCTGTCACCATGTTTTTCTAACTCTCATTTATCCAAAATCATCTTTCTATCACCTTTGTTTTTGAGGATATATATTTCAATGCATACACACATTCACCACCACCCCCCAAACAGACATTTCTGGACAGGTTTTTTTAAAATGTATACTCCCAGCACTTTAAAGATGTGTGTTCCTCCTTCACTGTTCACTCCTAGTCTGGTGTGACTTCTAAAGTAACCTTGTCACTCCTAACTTCAGCTATGGAATAATCCTTCTGTACACTGTGTGAATATATGTCATTATGATTGGTTTAATAAACAAGCTGACTGGCCAATAGCTAAACAAGATAAAGCTAGGTAGGAGAGTCAAACTGGGAACGATGGGATGAGGAAGGGCAGAGTCAGAGAGACACCAGCCAGTTGTCCCGGAAGCAAAATGTGTAGAAAATGAGTTAACAAGTCATAAATCACATAGCAAAGCATAGATAAGAAATATGGGTTAATTTAAATGTAAGAGCTAGTTAGTAAGAAGCCTGAGTGATTGATCCAGCATTTATAATGTAAATTAAGTCTCCAAGTCAACTATTTGGGAAGCGGCTGCTGATTATTTGGGAGCAGGTGGTCAGGACAGAAACTCAGCCCACAAACTTCTAAGCAAAATCTTCTCTTATTCTAATTGCCTTTGAGATTTCTTTGTTTTTCCAGAAATTTTACTACTGTGTATATGTGTGCATGTATGCATGTCTATGTGTGTATATGTGTGGGCATATGAGCATGTATGTATGTGTATATGCATATGTTTTGTGTGTGTGTTTATTTAATCTTTTTGATTTGTGTTTTCATCTTCTTTTGGAAAATAATGTCTTCTTTCGCTTTTCTTTCCTTATTTCTTTGTTACATTTGTCCAAGCTTCCAACTGAACATCTATTAAACAACTTGATGTCTTCCCAAAGTCAGATACAATTCATTTAATTTTTTAGTTTTGTGTTCACCCCTTCTCCACTCACTTCCCTAGTCTCTGTGCTTCCTATTTTTCTGTCTTAAAATTCTCTGGCTTCCCTTTGATAGCGTTCAATATAATATTAAGATCATCTATTAGATTTTTCAATTAAAATTTGGTTATATGTGCTATGATGTTTTGCTCCAGAATTTTCTTTGAATTCATTTAAGAAATTACTTTCTTTGGCTTGACTATAATTTCTCATCAGTTTATTAATTGTGTCCACTATTTCATAGTTTGAATACATGTATTATAATATTATTTAAGAGTATTATTTGAAATCCTTTATCTATTAAACATGATATGCCATTTTTTTTCTGTTTACATGCCAGTGTTCATTAACAACTCTCATGATTCTGCCCTCCAGCATCTCTAACACATTTTTATTCCTTGGATTTTGTAGCTCTCCTCTCTCTCTCTCTCTCTCTCTCTCTCTCTCTCTCTCTCTCTCTTTGAAATTTACTGGCTTAATTTACCAACTGTTCAGTTTTGTCTGTTCAAAACTTGGTCTTAGACTCAGCTTTAAAGAAAATCTTACTCTTTGGTTACGGTAAAAGTCCCATCCCAACATTTGCCATGTCTGGACTTCAGTTCATGGAGGAGGGGGTAGTGAGGACAGCCTCCTGGGGCTGGTTGGAAACCCAGTGCCTGTCAGAATTGTGTGAGTGTTGCGATCTCTGATCCACTCACACTTTACAAACAGCTGTAACTTCCAGGCCTGCTCCAGTCTCTCCCTCTCACATACCGATAGACAACTTAAGGAAGTTCATAGACAATTTGAGGAAATTCATGAACAAAATCTCTTTGTCTGTCATAAACATGCTTCATAGTACCCAGTAGCTATCTTTGCTACCAGATAACCTGTCATAGGATTATATTTATTGTGTTCAAATAAACTTAAACTCATTATTTACCCAAAGTATAGAAATAAAGGATTTGGAAATTAGGATGTATTAGAGAAAAGTAATAAATTATTTCCAAAAGTGAAAATTTTAAAGGTCTCAATAAGGACAGGAAGAAAAAATAAAACAACCAATAAACAACCCATGTGCTGAGTTTGCCCAGACCTAAGAATCACATTTTTTAAATCTCTTACTATGGTTTCTAGATGTATGTATGTATAAAATGACCCTAGTACACACAGGCATCTACCGTAATAAATCTCTCTTTGGACCCTCCAAGCTCTCCAATAACAACACGGAATCTGTAGAATCACCCGAGGTCTGTATCACCACCCTTCCGGTATGGACCGCGGCTCCATACCATCATGAGCTTGGGCAAAGGCCTAGGGGGTTAAACATAAGACACACATACAGAGTCTGGGTCATTCGCCAAGAGGTAAATGCCAATTTATTTAGCTTTATCCAGAGTTAATATACCTATTCCCCCAGTAACGGAAACCCCTCCCAGTCAGAGGGGGTTGGGGGAACTGGCGCCGTGTGAGAACTTTTCCAAAGGCGAGAGGTGTGGGGCAGTGGCAGACAGGTGAGAGGGACCTTGTCGCTGTGAGCTCTCCCGGGCAGGTTGGGAAATTACCATTCCAAAGTAATACAAGGCCTTATGGCTAGTTCACCAGGCTAGCAGAGCAGAGCACAGAATTTAGCAGGAAGCTTAGCTGGTTAGCCAAAACAGTCCTTGATTTGCATCCCAGGGAGCAAGGGAAGACAGGGGCCTACAGAATCTTTGTATTAATTAGGAAAGCTTGGCCTTAGCTTAAGCTGTTCCCAACTAGGAATTAATACTTCAATCAACCCGTTTCTATTAATGCCCATTTTGCTACATGGCTCATTATCGCTCCTCAGTACTGTATGTATGACTACCTCTGCATCTGGCTGACGAATCTCCTGCATCTCAAATTCTTTCCCAGAGTTCCTGTCTCTGCCCAGAAATCCCACCTATTCTCTCCTGCCTTGTTATTGGTCTTTCAGCTCTCTAGTAAACCTTTCAGAAGGAGCCTTAGGCAGAAAAGGTAAAACAGAGACACATCTTCACAGTGTACAAAAGGATTAACCCACAAAGGTACAGCACCATCTTCAATGTCAGGTACCCATCCACTATAGCAGTCAAGGCCTGAAGCACAGCTCCTGTGGGTGAGGTTCAGACACAGATGTGCACAAATACGTGTAAACACCAATGTATTGTTGTGCATTTGCCTCAGCATGTGAGAGAAAACAGAATGATACTGCAAAGGAGCTGTCTCTTCCCTTCATCCAACTGAAGCCCTTTCTAGAAGTAAAAGATTAAACATTATAATACAGGTAGGGAGAATGTTTTATTATTTCTCCATGACAGTGGAATTATCTCTAAATCCCTGACGGCTTTGTGCAGCGCTTCCTCTGTACTCTGGCCTCATTTCCAGGTATTTTGTGTCCTCCTGTGACCCTTACATTGTTGGCGCCCCCACCTTGTTTTTGTCCTGTGACTTTCTAGATGTCCTTTTCTTCTGTTCTTCCGTACTCTACCTGTACCGTTCTGAATGCTTTGTAGAGCCTCTTATTTTTTTTTCTTCTATATCAGGAGAACTGCTTCAGTTTCCCCATAAAGTCTCCCTGTTTTTCACGAGAAACTGTTTTTCCTCAACTCATCAATTTCCTCCACGCATCAGGATTTGTCCTTGTGGCCCAACGCCATTCTTTCCCGTCCTTATTCTGTTATGAAACCACGGCGGGACCATGGCATTCGTGTCTGTGCCTTCATACCTCTCACAGTGTCTGCCGCACAGTAGGCTCCCATGGAGTGTTCGCTAGTTAGATGAATTAATGGCTGCATACACGAGCGAAATGAGACTGGATATCTCTATTTTCTGATGATAAGCCCCCGAACCCCAGGACAGTAGAGTCTAAAGGCCAAGTCACGTGCTAGTCTTGCTGTCCAACATCCAGTCTTTGTCTCCTGGCTGCAGATCCGAATTGTATTATTTCTCAAAGGCTATTAAGAAGCCTTCAGAGAAAGCACATGAAATTACCTCCAGTGCTGGCTCGCAATAATGTCCTTTTGTTCTCCGATAGTCTCCAGTTGACAGCTATCAAGGTTGTTCTAATTTGTGTCAAACGGGCCATCTACAGGGAACATTTTGGAATGGGGAAGGTTCAGGAGATAGAAAAAAAAGTAATGAATATAAAGCGTAAATGCCATACTACAGTAATAGAGACATACAATAACAGCAAGGGAAATGTGACCTTCTGGCCAGAAACTCGATCGTGAACCAATTGGAGAACTTGAGAAAATTGGATCAGCCTCAATAGTCACAGAGTAAACATGGGAAGTACAATCCAGTCTTATTAAACATAATGCACACTTAATGCATAATTTTATTGCAGCCAATTTCATGCTAGTGCTTTAAATGAAGCTGGGTTTTCTTCCACTGCTCCAGTCCACTACCATTAGTGCCTCTTAAGAGAACAGCAAGACCGGTCAACTGTCACTGGGTTGATCTCTTCCCCAGCCATACTTTCTGCTTCATAGCTTCCCCTGCTCCCACTGTTTGTACTGAGATCGTGTCTCCTTCCAGTCCACAGTTTTGGAAGCACAACACTCTTTTGGCAAGTCGTTTGCATATGGGAACGTGCTAGCCTTTCCATTTTATGCCAGCATGCAACGCAGTGAACTTCTGCTTGTCTAAATCCCAGACCCAGGGGTTGGGGTTTCTATTAGCCATAAATTTACTCTGGGCAAGAATATCATCTGCATGGCAATGGGAGAGAACGGAGAAGCAATGGAACTCATAAGCCATATCACCTCTGGCTTTTGATGCTTATTTTTTCCTGTCAATATTAATTTTAGAAAATATACTCTACAGCAATTCTAGTTGTTTCCCTTTGCAATTTGGTCCTCATACGTCTACGGACAAATGGGAGAAGGTGAGATTCTGGATAAAGATGAAAACCTCTGAGCCCAGTGACCGACTTAGGAGTGTTTATTCTGCTATTACCTTCGTGTGTTTGTCATGTTCCTGCACCTCTCAGCCCCCATGCCTTCTATAAAAGTAGGGTCATAATCGTCTGTGAGCAGATGCAGGCAGGCTGCAGAAGTGCTTTGTAAACCTGAGAGTGATTTGCGTTTATTATTGCAACTAAAGAGAAACAGCCAGTGTTACAGATGACGAGCAAGCCAAATTCTGTCAAAGCCATAATTCTTTCCATAACCTGATAGACATTCAGTTTCTAAAGACATCAAAATATGCGCTGGATAGGTACGTAATTCTTCCACATAATTCTGAGTTCTCCTCTCTAAAAATCAAAATAAAAGTCAAATTTTCAAACAGAAACAAAATTTCTGAAAACGCCTTCTATCTGCGGTGGAATGAGAGCAAATTAAAGCCCACGAAGGCATTCGCGGCAGACGGTCCTCACAGATCTCCGGGGCTCTTTAAATCCCATACAAAGCCCTCCTTTCCCACTGAACAGCTCACACCCCACAGGACTCCCTTGAAAGTGCCGCTCTGCCAGAAGCCAGGAAGAGCTCTGGGAGTGAGGTGTGTCATAGCCTCAGAATGGGTGCTCCTGGGTGGCCACAGGAGATCCAGAAAGGAAATTACCGATCTGCATTCAGAATTCTGGATTCATTGGGATTTCAAAGAGCAGCTATGGTGGGAAGGAACTGCTCCAGATAGTGTCGATATGGAGCCCAGCCAGAGTTTTCCATGGTTTTTAAAACCTGTCCATGTTATAAAGAGACCAGTGATTCGGTGATATATTCTGCTTTGACTGTTCAAAACCATAAACAGCATAAACAGATGTCATTTCAGCACAGGCTAGAGTCGGATGCTGTGTCCCTGGGGAAAATAAACCCAACTTGGGGAAGCCAGAGCAGCCACAGGCTACAAAGTCCCTTAGCTTCTGATACAAATAGTATTCTGCATAATTATTATTAGTACTATTATTATATTTATTTAAAAATTACCAATGTATATGGTGATTTTCTCAGAGTCAAACTATGACAGAATACCCAACCAAAACAACTTAAAAGGGGAAAAGGATGTTTTCCATCACACCTTTGTTTTGTATTTCTTTAAGGTGGAGGTCTCCTGTAGCCCAGGCTGGACTTAAACTCACTACGTAACTGAGAATGACCTTGTATTCCTGATCTTCCTGCCTCCATTTCCCTACTGCTTGGATCACAACACTGTACCATATCCAACAGGAAAGAATTTCTTCTGGTTCATGGTCAGAGGCTGTCTGGTTCCATTGCTTCCGGGCTGTGAGTGGCAGAAGATTGAACATGGCAGGGAACACTTACTAACACACAGTGGCTCATTTAATGGTGGGCTGGAGGCAGAAAGAAGAAGGGAAAGATGGAGAGAGAAAAGAGGAAGAAAGGGGGAGAAGGAGGGGCCATGACTCCAATGATCTACTTTCTTCCATTAATCCCCACCTCCCAATATCCTATTCAGCTATGAACCCATAAGTATATTAATCTACTGATGAAGTTAGTACCTTTGTGATTCAGTGTCCACACAGCCCCAACTGAATCCTTTAACACATGAGCCTTTGGGCCATTTTGTATCCAAATCACAAGACTCATTGGTTGTTCACCAACAGACACCAACTCATCCCAGGATATAATTTGCTGACCCTGTGCCAAGCATCAGGAATGTAGAGACGCTCCTACATTTGAAGGATTTATAATCTATCCAGATGTGAAGTAACATCATACAAGATAAAGCACAGCAAAAGAGACAAAGTGAGATGAAATTCAAAGTCAGAGGAGCTCAGGTGAGAGAGACAGAGATAAAGAGAGACACAGAGGAGACACAGAGAGAAAAGTCACTACAAAGCGCTGAAAGTATAGAAAGTGTATTTTATCCTATATCAAGATTAGTTATAATTATCTTGTTAAGATGATGATAATCTTTGAAATCCTTGCCAGATGTGAACTACAATTTAGAAACACTTGTCTAGCACATTCTATGTGGTCTTGGACACAGGAACTCTCTATTCAAATGGATATTATCCCTGGTTCAGAAGCTGATGTGGAGTCTGCTGGTGACGATGCTGTGGCTAACGAGGGCAGTGTAAGATAGCCCCCACCCAAGTATCTGGTGGTGAACGGAAAGGACATATAGAATCTGGAGTTTTCATGAACTGAGTGTTCATTGGCAAGACACCAACTTATCCTGGTCACCTTTGCCACATTTTTGTAGTCTTGGAAATCTTCATCCTGTTCATTTTACTCTTCAGTCTCCTCACTCTTGGTCATCCCCTTCATTCTTTTTCCTTCAAACTTCTAAACCGAAGGGTATTTCACATAGTATAAGAATGATACATGAAGCCATTTTAAGTTATATAGCTTAGTGGGCTTTTGTACATGCATGAAATTGCACAACAACAACCATTGGTTTCATCTAATTCCAGAACTTTTTTTTTCTCATGATGTGACGCGCTTCCTGACCAGCAGGAATGAACGATCACAAAATCAAGAATCCTTCTCAATCACAATTTATTAGAGCTCCTTGATTGAAAGGGGGAATGGGGAAAAGGGATGAGAGAGAGAGCGAAAAACCCAAAGACAGCCACTTTTCTAGGGTGAGAGGCTCGAATGCTGATTGGTTGATGCCATTCTGCTAGGGCCCAAGACCACAGGGCAGGTCAGGAAACCGAGTCTCTGAAATGCAAAACAAGGCTCCAAGCAAACTGGCCTGGACGGCAGCAACAAAGGATATGTATACCTCCAGGCTGTAGGACTAACTCGCCAAGGCGACATCCTGGCGGCTCCCTACATCATGAACGCCTTATCTTCCCCAGAGGTTCCTATGATTTAGTGATCACAGTCTGGAACACTCTACCTAGAGGCTCACCACTCTACTGTGTCCCTATGGATTTCTTTATTCTGATCATTTGTAGAACTAGAATAATATTGCCTTAGTTTCTTTGCTCTTGGTGTGATGAAAGACACTGACAAGAGCAACTGAAGGGATAAAGGGTTTGTTTAAGCCCAGTGTTCCAGACGACGGTCCGTCATGGTGGGGACGTCAAGGCGTTGGGTGCTTGTGGGAATTTAATCCACAGTTTAAAGGGGATAGCAGTAAATTCATGTGTGGTAGCACTCTGCTTATGTTCTCTGCTCTTCTTCTTACTTAGGGAATGGTGCCACCTGGAGTAACCAGATCTTCGCATCTTAGTTAACGGAATCAAGTAAATCCCTACAGTTGTGTTCAGAGGCCTATTTTCCATATGATTCTAGTTTTTTTGTCAAATTGACATTGAAATGATACAAATTTCTATGTTGTTCTGTTACTAAGTGTCATATTTCCAAGATTCATTTATGCAGTGTATGAAAAAAAATTTCCACTCTTTATGTGATCAAATAACATATAGTCCGTTTGGGTTATTCATTTACCAGTTGATGAACTTTGGGGTTACTTCTACTTTGGGTTGTTACTAGCCACGCTGTCTGTTGTATAGCTATCACCTCTGCCCCGAAACATTCCCTTAAAGCTAAGGAAGTAAACCAACCAAGTCTCAGGAAGTTCTTGATACTAATTAGAGTCACATGGCCCCTCCCTACAGTAAAATTGACAGTAACAACTGTTGGGTGGGCAGAGGAGACTTTCAGATTGGCCAGCATGTCTGCAAGTTGTTCAGCGTTCTCGGGGGTGCAGTTTTCTGGAGTTGCCACCCATTATGGGGTAAGATTTTTGTTGAGGCAGTTGCTCTAGAGTCAGTCATATACCTCTAACTAATTCCTAACTCATGTTTCCGTGAATAGCCCTAATAAACTTTCTGATTCACTACGCCTTTGGTGAAACCATTTATTTGGTGCTCTCTCTAGGGGGTGAATAAGTGTTTGTTCAGTTCTCTCCAGAAATGATACACAATACTGCTGAAATACTTGCCTGTAAGCTTTTGTGTTCATGGGCTAAAGTTACTCTTTACCTCTAAAATGATCTTGTGTCTTTGTAACAATTCATCATACATTTTGATTAACATACATGCACTCACCTAGAGATTCAGGAGAAAGACACCATGCCATCCATAATAAGGGAATAAGGAACCTAGCATCCAGTTAACTAACTTTGCTAACTGTGTTTCTCTGCAATAATCACTGTAAGTATTCAGCAAAAGAACTCTCCCACACGAATGAGTTCATATTCTTGTTTTCATTTGTTCATTCTTCTCTCAAACTAAGAGTCTGTTCCATGCAGAGGTTTATATGCAGCCAAAATCTCAGTGAGTGTATAGATGTGATATTTCTGGTAAGGAAGGATTTAGGGGTTTTGGAAAGTTGTATCAACAGTGTTCATTTTATAGACACAGCTAAGAAGGCAAGCAGGAATATGATTTCTTCACAAACTGCATCACTGGTCAAAGAAGATAGATACTCACAAATTAAATAACCTGTCCATCATCCAGATGAAATCTGTAGATATAGTGTTACTTTATGTGTTCATTTTAATATTATGATTCTGAATTTTTTATCTATTTAAAATTGTCTTTCTATAGTTTTCTACAGGAAAATGGTACAGATAAGAATACACCTGTTCTCTATGACTAACATTCTCAGGAATTCTGGCAAGAAGAAGCCTTCAAAGTGAGAAGATACTATGTGTTGTAGATTACTTAGTTTATCCATCCTCCTATCTTTCATAAAAGCACAATTACCCTAGTTAGTCAACTGGATGCCAAGTTTTTTACTCTCTCATCTCAGATGGCAGGGTCTCTTTCTCTGTAGTCTCTGAGTAAGGGAAAGTATGTTAATTACATGTATGGTGGGTTATTTTTACAAAGCTGCAAGATCATTTTGTAGGGAAAGAGCAGTCTTTAACAAATATTCAAATACATCTCCATATCCACTACGTCACTCATACTTGCATCTAAAGAGATGCATAGTTGTGCCCCTGGACTTTGGGGGAAATGACTTTAAGTATCTTAAGGAAAAACAAATTATGATTTTACAGCCTGGTACTCTGAACTGGAGAAGTGGGAAGGGAAGATGAAGCTCTTGTCAAACAGGCAGTTTTGTCTGGAAACCCGTGAAAGAGAGCCTAAGGAGGAAGAAATTCACAGTAAAGAAGGGTTAAAAGCAAGACAGAAGAAAAAGCATGGACCAAAGGAAGCAGAAAAAGTCATTTCAGTGACAGTTTATGTGTATTCAAAGTGCTGGACAGCAGGAAGAAGATTAGAAGAGGTTAGTAAATAGGCCTGGAGGTAGTCACAGGCGAGCCATGGTCGCTGCCACAGTCTACATCACGTGTCTCTCATTTTACAGCTTTATTCTGCGTTACTTTTTTTTATTTTTGTGGTAAAATACTATGATCAAGACAACTTATAGAAGGAAAAATTCATCTGGGGATTATGATTCCGGAGAGTTAGGGTCTGTAATGACAGGGATTGCCTGACAACAGACAGCAGACATAGCAGTTGGAGCTGGAATTTGAGAGCTAAGGGCTCATATCTCAAACCACAAGCAAGCAGAGAGAGCAGACTGCAAATAGCACATGACTTTGAAACCTCAAGTCTCACCACCAGTGACATACATCCTCCAGCAAGACTTGCTCAACTCATCTATTACATCGGAGCAAGTAACAGATTCTTTTTGACAACTTCCTGTCCTGGCTCTTCATTCTCTTCCTTCCTCTACGATTTTTCCTCCTCTGAGGTCAGGATTTTGATGTGTCCTGTAATTCTTTCATGTTGTACAGGAGTTTTTGAAATTTGTTCCAGGATAAGAGGCCTTACCACAAGATCCCATCGCTGTCTCCATTTATCTCTTTAAAGCCATTAATGCATTTATTTCACATGCCAAATAATATCCACCATTGGCTCATATTTACTCTTCTATTGCCCTCTTTTGGCTCTACCCATTTATATATACACATATATATGTTTTTTGAGACAGGGTTTCTTTGTAGCTTTGAAGCCTATCCTAGAATTAGCTGTTGTAGACCAGGCTGGCCTCAAACTCACAGAGATCCACCTACCTCTACTTTTCAAGTACTGGGATTAAAGGCGTGCACCACCACCGCCCGGATTATATGTTTATATTTTAATTGAAGATTCCTCATTTGAGAGGAAACATGCACTATTTCTTATTCTGAATTTCATATTTCTTATTATGTGGCTTATTTTAAATAACACGATGCTCTCCAGTTCCTCAGAATTGACTTAAGCTTAACTAAACCTCCGATGTTTATAGACATATCTCATTTTCAGGAACCATTTCTCTATTGATGGACATTCAAGCATATCTCTTTGGGTCTACATCTTAGGGGTGATAGATCTGTATACACTGGGTTGATGACCATTCTCCTTTTAATTTTTTGTGTCTC